GTACTTTCAATTGTCTTATACCAAATTTTAATAGTATTTAAATAGCCTTAATAAATTAAGCAAGATCCTGTTTTTTAATGTGCATTATTTTATTTAGATCAGGGGTGTTAAACATACAGCCCGCGGGCCAGATCAAGCCCACCAGGTGGTCCAGCTCGGACCGCTGGATGCCTTTGCTTAGTGTGAAAATCACAGAAAGACATAAATTGCATTTCTATAAAAGTAGCTGCTATTCTTAATCATCGCTCTGTAAAACAAGTTAAGAGTTTATGTTTAAAATATTTTATAGATCTTGAAGAGTTTATTTTGTTATAAAGTCACATACAATATTTTTCAGTTCCAAATACCTGTGACTAAATGTTTTGCTCTATAGATCAATTGTGATCTGAAGTTGTAATGCACATGTGTAAATGACAAAATTGGTAAAATTGCACTTGTTTTTCTTAATACATTTCAAGGGTTGTGAATCAGAATGTCTCTTAAGAATATTAAGGTTAATGAGTACAAATGTTTTGTAATTTTTTAATCGATTCAGTAATTGTTTCAAAAACAGCATAAATGCGATGTCTGTTCCAGAGGCAGAAGCGCTCATTGCCACAGGCAGCAGCGCTCAACAAAACGAGGAAATCTGCAGTGGAGAGCCCAGACAGATAAACTGTGGGCTGATGTCTGAGGAGTTTTTGGTCTTTATGTTTCTAGTTTATTGTAGAAAGACCTTAAAATATGGCTTATCATTCAAAAACCTTCACCAATGATTTAAACATAGAGAAATATTTTCGTTATGTATGCGTTATTATTCTATGATTTTACTTGTCTGGCCCACTTGAGATCAAAGTGGGCAGTATGTGACCCCTTTACTAAAATGAGTTTGACACCCCTGCTGTAGATCCTCCGTATTTTCTGTGGAGGGGGTGCATGTGTGAAAGCAAATATCAGAGCGAGAGCCTCCGTAGTTTTTGCGGACTCTCTCCGCCTGACTCCCTAGTATATTGTCTGTAGAAAGAAGGGAGAATCAGATGTGAAAACACAGCGGAGGGTCCCTCGCTGGATTCACACTGAGCATGTGGGCAGGTGGACGGAACTTCTAATTAGCAACAGCTGCAAAAATGAGAACACAAATATCTCCTGGCGAGACATAGAAGACATTACATGAACATGAAAGACTTTTCAGGTTCTAACCCCCACCCCTCTCTCCTTTTCTCTGCAGCTGAACTGGAGTTTGTTCAGATTGTCATCATTATCCTGGTGATGACAGTGATGGTAGTGGTGATCATCTGCCTGCTCAACCACTACAAGCTCTCCACCTGGTCTTTAATTACAAGGCAGAGCCAGGCCCGCAGGCACAATCATGCGCTGCATCAGGTCAGTGTGCGCATGTCTGTTGCTCTTCACACACACACATTAATTTAGTCATTAATGGATCGTTCTGGATCATGAATCCGGATGGTTCCAGATCATGAATCCGGATTGTTCCAGTCTTTTTAACACTGATGTCCTGCTTGTGTGTGTGAGTGTAAACTCCTCACCTTGCTCCCAGGCTCAGAGGACATGACTCGCTAAAATACACAGACAGAGACAGCTAAATCTTAGGCGCATGGGTGCGATCAAGGAAAACATTTGTTACACTTCACAGATTTTTAGTTGCATATGTGACCCACATGGTTGCACTTTGGAGTCCTGGTTCTGGCAGTGCTATTCTCTCAGCATCATGTATGAAAAGACCCAAATGACCATTGTAAGCAGACTTAGCTAAGGCTGGGTGTCTGCTCCGGACTTAGTGGCCCTATTGCCTGAGCTGTGCGCCCTCTCTCTTGGACTATGGAGCTGTCAGTGGTCCCTGCGTCCATAGCCAAGTGGAATTTTATCTGTGATGCAATGTTGTTGGAATGGAAAAACTGCATTTGATTTGTTTCATTGGCATTGGCAACTCACTGTATGGGGTCTATGTTAGCAGCAAAAAAAACCTGGCCCTTATTTCCAGCATATGGTATGTAGATCTACTCACCCATAAAGGTTTGGAGTAACTTGGAGTCCTTCGGACGCTTTTAGTTCTGCACGCGATCGGCTTATATCCATTCAACGCAAGTGATTGGGGCATCCACAATACAGCCTCTAAATAATGCATTATCTGCTGCAAAACTCTTTATTTACTTTGAATCACCAGCACTAGTCCCATGTAAGTCCAAGTTGCATTGTTTACATCCCAGGCTTTCAATGGGGTGACGTCACCGAGGCGCGCAGCCGCAGCACACCTGACGATCAGCTGTGTTTGTTTACACAAAGATTGTAGCATCAGCTTAATAGTGTCACATCGAAGATCATCCCAGACATAACAAGCAACAAAGCTGTAGTTACTGTTGATTTTAATATATTGTCATTACAATTAGACTTTTCAAAAAGATGACTTTGTCAACATTAGAAAATAAAGATGCACTTACTTAACCTTTTTGTTGGTAATACAATCATGTGAAGTCCCCCTAAAGCTCACACATAATCTTCAGATATGTGCATAAACCACTTGGGAAACTTGTAAACCTGAGTCTTTTTCCTTGTTTTGTCTCAATGTTTAGGACAGGTGTCTGTGGCCTTCAGAGCCTGGCTCTCAACAAGGTGCCTCTGAGGTAAGAAAAAAAAAACATAAGTAACCAACTTTTACCACTTATCAAACATGCCAGTATTCATGGCAACGTGTTTTCAGCTCTGTGCACTAGACAGGCTAAATCAAAAATATCAAAAACATGTCCTGACTGTGAGTGCACATTTTTTCAACTTGCACTGAAATTTTCAAGTAAATGTCCAAACATTGGCGAAAATGTCTGACTATTTTCCTCCCGATCGCCACACAGTCAGAAATGCTCCGCTGGCTTAACACTCCATCATGCACTGCTAGCTGCAGCGTGTGAGCCATGTAGCCCAGGCTTTTAACGCCACACTCCTCCATTGCCTTCTGCATATTCCGCGCATTGTCGCGGAGCACAACATGCACATTGTCTTTTTTAATTTTCCACTTATCAAACATGCAGTCAAATGCGCTAGCGATGGCGACTCCCGTGTGCGATCCTGCAAACTCTTGCGCATGTAAAACAGCTCTCTTCATTTCAAAGTTGTCATTAATCCACTGAGCAGTAAGGCTCTACATACTCATCTGACTTACGTCCGAGCTCCATATATCCGTAGTGAAGCTAATGTCAGTCACATTGTCCAACAATTTGTGGATATGCGTGGCCACGACTTCATACAAAGCAGGGAGGGAGACGTCGGAAAAGTAGCGCCGACTTGGTAGGGTGTAGCGGGGTTCAATATGCTCTATCAACTGCCGAAATCCTCGGTCCTCCACGATGGAAAATGGTTGGTCGTCAAGAGCAATCATTTCCATTACCTTGTCGGTTATTGTCCTGGCTTTTGCGCTGTCCTTGGCAAATTTCTTGGTCTGGTCGAGTACCTGCTGTATTGGACTCCCAGCTGCAGCTGATTTCGTTTTTGCCTGCTGGCTAATGTTAGCAGCATTTTTTTCCTMCAGTTGTTTGTGTAGCTCTGGGTGGCGGTTTTTCAAATGGCATATTAAATTTGTGGTGTTGAATGACTTGACGTGGCATCCTCCTCGCATTACCTCGACTTTGCAGGTGTTGCATACTGCTTTTRGAGTGTCTTCGTTTGACACAGTGAAAAACGCCCACACCGCTGACATTTTTTCTCCTCTTCCGTTTAACATCCCACAATCCTGTGCCGCCTTTGCGTCACTGACGRGCCCAAACAAATACACATGGCCAWYMCCKKKTCCCCCTCCCCCTCCCCTCCTTCTCCCGCTCCTTCACCCGACACAGCAACTAGACGGATATACATCGGTTGTGCATATCGGCCCAATTTCACTCATCGGACCGATAGGTTAAAAAATGACGAACATCGGCCGATACCGATATTAATGCCGATATATCATGCATCCCTAAAGTGGAGTCATTTGTTACATCTCAGTAATGACAAATAGCAGGGGCGGCTGTGGCTGAGGGATAGAGCAGTCGTCCGTCAGGGGGTCGGTTTGATCCTCAGTCAAGACACTGAACCCCTAATAGTTAGTGCACTAATTGTAAGATGCTTTGGATAACAATGTCCACTAAATGTAATGTAATGTAGCGTAAGTAAGGGGTTGATTATGCTTCTAATGCACAACAGAAAGAAAACAAAAGCGCTGACACACACATAAAAGACTGAGGAGATAAGAGCTGTGTTGTCAAGAAAATCATGTGATCTCTGCAGTGTAAATACGTGATTTAATACGTTGCTTCCTGCCTCTACCTAGTGCACCACCACTTGCCTGAAAAATGTTAAAGGATTTGTTGCTGTTGTTAACGCATCCATGCTATGTTGTTCATGTATGAAAGGCAAACTCCCTGATTTTGCACTATACAATTAAAAGTGAATTGAATAAATTGAAAAATTACATATTGTAAAACTTTTGTAAATCTTTGGATATATGATTGACATTCAAAGGCAGTGTTGAAAGTATAGGCTATGAAGATGGCAAATTATACAAATGAAACTGAGGGAGAAGAGCTGAATCCACTCATTGATCTCTTTTGTGTAGTGTAGATTCACTGTATTAAAATAAATCTGTCTCTTCTAAGGTCTTCTTTTTTTCATCAGCTCGTTTTCTTGGTACTCAACATTTGTAGAACCATTCAGCAGTGACAGGAAAACTCTTGGAGCACAAATATTTTGGCATTGTAAATATTTGATCATCCAGGAATGAGAGCTTCTATGTTGCAATGGGTATAGCTGGCAATTCACTCCAAACTAAATCACAATGTGGCAAAACCCGTGAAGGTTACTGTGGCGTTTGACCACGCCACGGGGTTCCCCTCACGACAGCCAGAGACAGACCAGTTCAACCATTGTGGGTTCAGCAACATCTCTTTATTAACTCCCAACGGAATATACAGAACATGGAACTTAACAGGTCCAGCACTATCTGCTGGACCTTCAGCTTCACCCAAGTCTCCCTTCCCAGCGTTCTTCTCCAGTGTGTGTTTCCCAGTGTCTCTCGAGTGTCTTGTGTTTTCCCAAGTGTCTCAGAGCGTTTCCTCTCGAGTGTCTTGTGCGTTCTTTTTCCCCCGGAGGCAGCTCTGCTGCCTCCTTTTAAKGTCTGAGGATCAATCAGCTAACAGCTCTCACCTGTGCTGATTGATCCTCAGTGGTGCAGGTGAAGGTGCTCTCTCCGCCCCTTCACCTCCACAGTTACGTTTACCAGTGGGAAGAGACCCACTTGGAAAAAATTGGATCACAGAGTTTAAAGAACACTTGATCATTTAACCAAACACGTGATGAGTTGTGTGAGGTTGTGTAGGAAAGGTTGGCTGGCCAGTCTGTGCACAAATGTGGCTTTTTGTTTAGGCAAAAGGGCACATTTGCACCAAAACAAACACCCCATTGTTTTTTCATTAGAAGTCTCCCGCCAGCTAAAATTGTCATGTGTGAACAACTTAAGTAGATGAAGGAAAATACTTTTAGGTTTTGATAGAGAGAGTTAATGGTAGAAGGCAGGAAAAAAATGTCAGAGAGTAAGAGGTGCAGGAGTATCAGGGGAGGTTAATTTACAAAAACAGCGTCAACGTTAGAGCACCCAGACAGACCCAGAGAAAAAAGGAAAAGGCCATTGAAAGAAAAACATAGAGGGTGACGCAGCCAATGAGTGTGGGTGGCTGATAGATGCAGTGATAGGGTGCTGTGCAAGCATGTGTGTGTCTATGTATGTCTTGGTGTTGGCGGCAGAGGGGGTGGACAGATTTTGGTGCATCATTAATCAGCAACACCTCCCCTGACACTGTCTAGACAGCTGTCTGAGAGCTGCCCTGCTCCATTGCGCTCTCTTCCCTCTATCAGTGATACAGCTTTCTCTCCCACCCTCCCTCCCTCCCTCCCTCTATTTGTCTGGGTCTATACAACTTCTTTTTTCTCTCTCTGTCTTTCTCTCTCTAGCACTCCTTTACGCTCCTTCCTCTCCTTATCAACATGGCTATTTCTTCTCTTGTTTCTGTAATCCTTCCATCCCTCTCTTTATCTAACTTCCCCTCTTTCTCTTTCAATTGATCTCATCCTCTATTCCCCATTTTTTTCTTTTTTTTCCAGTCTGATGGTCTCACCATCCTAGCTGCCTCATCAGTGTAGGTTGACCATTAGAGCCACAGTCACAAATTGAAATGGATTCCTTCTGAAAGTGACTCAGCAATGTATTGAATTGGACAGAAATATGAGAAAGGATAATTGATGTGAAGCTCTCTGGTGAAAGCAGTGTGTTGAATATTTTACTGTAATTCAATTCAATTCAATTCAATTTTATTTATATAGCGCCAATTCATAATTTARATTATCTCAAGGCACTTTACATTTAAAGGTCAAGACCATAAAACAATATTAACATAGAGAAACCCAACAGTTCCCACAATGAGCAAGCACAGGCGACTGTGGAGAGGAAAAACTCCCTCATTAAAAGGGAGAAACCTCTGGCAGAACCAGGCTCAATGTGGGCGGTCATCTGCCTCGACCGGTTGGGGTGAGGAAAGAAAAGTAAGGGGGGAGGAAAGGAGAGATGGGTGSAAAHCGGGGGAGAGAAGAGAGAGATGAGGTGGAGAGAGAGAGACCGGGAACAATTGGGCACCAATCACTATCAGGGCTGACTATAACAATAACAATGTAGTGATCTACAACAGGATTAVATATATTAATGAATTACTGAGTTATTTTAATTAATAACAATGGTGATGGTAGTCGTTGTTGTCCTGCAGTCCCGTTGCCGGAGTTATCTGAAACAAGATAGAGAGAAGAGCCAGAGGGACTATGGGAGGACAAAGTGACACTTTGACATGATGACATGTTAAAATTAATAAATAAATAATTAAATTGTAACGTCTTTAAAGGAGGCCTATTGTGTTTGTTTTTGTTCATAAGTTTAATGGGGGCACTGCTTGAAAAGGTTTAGGGCTCCAATGTTCAGAAAATGCTTTAGTTTATTTATTCTATTAATTGCCGCAGCATCAGGAAAGTCTCACAGCCGGATTCAGCTCCTGCCTACCTTGCTAGAAAACCCAGTCTGCTCTGATTGGACAGCTGATGATGAGTTCAGGTACATCAGTACGAAGGAAGCTGTGAATAGACAACGCTGCAATTAAACACAACACTGACAATTTGGATTAATTTTGTAATTAATTCAAAATATGTTTAACAGTTCCACTGTCCGCTGTACACCGGGAGACTTTAGCTTTGTTGTACTCTGTGTGGTGTTTTGATTTTCCAACAGCACCTGAAGGCCACCCCAAAAACTAAACTTAAAGCAATAGTATACCGAAAAATTAAAAAACACTCATCTACTCACTACTATGCTGATGGAGGGTTGGGTGAAGTGAAATCAAGCAGAGAAAACGTCTCTTTCGCTGGCTGTGCATTATGTGCAATCACTGCCAGGTTAGGAAACATTGAGGAGCGTTCCTTCCACCAACACTAGAATCATCCACATCCAAGTCATCACCTGTTGAAAGGGGACGGGGCCCGTGGTACATTGCAGGTGCTTCCATGTTTCACTTTGAGTTCTTGAGATAGTAAAAATTAAACGTAAGATCAATGCTAATTTAAGAGGATAAAAATATATATATATATTTATAGAGTATAGAACGAGAGGACGGCAAAAACATTAAGGGTTATATTTTAGAGCACAAAGCGCAAAATCACAATTTGCACACTGCAGGAAAAAAATATAACTTGTAATAAAGTTTGGTCAGAACTGTATGTTTAAAATCTGATATCCTGACAGCCATACAACATAAATCCTTAAATAAAATATGTACTATTTCAACTGACATATAATTGTTATCCTTATTTTTCAATTATATTGGAATAATTCATTTTAAGCCATATTTTCTGTAATCTTTAATATTTGTCTATCTTATTCCTCCCCTTCTCCCATGTATAAATCAATAAGTTATGACAATGTTTATCAGATAATATTTCAAGTAGGCTACATTGAATTGGATTATACTATCCATCCTGTTTGAATTAAATATTTTAAAGAGGATATTATTCATAAAATGTAGCAAAGTAATTGTATATTTACACAAACGTAACATTTAAGAAATTATATGAAATGACAACATTTTCTAAGCTTTGCTGTCTCTTTTTGTAATGATGGAAGTAAATAAAACTTATATTATAGCAACCACTTCTGTGATTAAAACAAGATATAGAGCAGACAATATAGGCCATGGATGTTGTGATCTACAGCAAAGGCGATCGTTGCTCAATTGGTTTGGTCAGCCCTTCTTTTTTACTGATACAAAGCCGCATGTGACGCCGTCCAGTGTCACCCAAGACGCTGTAAAAAGCAACGTTCCATGAGCATACAAAGCGCTGCATATAACGCTGCTTTTTCCTTGCTTGACATAGCGCTGTAAAAACCATAAAATTAGTTGATTAAAAAGTGATGTATTCCGTCCTCAACGGCTTTTCATAGATGAACACCCTGCTGACGTTGCCCAGAAATGGACGTGTTAGAAAAATCAAGGTTGAGGCATTTCAGCAGCCTCTGGAAAGGAGAGAATAGCTCCCTCTGCTACAGACTTTGGGATTTTGAGCCAAAATCATTTGTATACATTCACACAAAACATAAACAACCCACTAGAGGACAGGGAAAGACTGAAAAAGCATAATAAGTCTCCTTTAAATAGATGATTGCTGGCACAGTGGGGGTTGCCTTTGTAGCAATAGCATCATCATCCATTGGAATGTTGGGAGTGTAGACATTGAATTCATTGTTTTACACAGAGGCAAAACATAATTTTGCAGCATTTTTTGTAGTGATTGTTTGGGGACATGCAGTTATATCTATGGATACTAAAAAAAAGCTTTCACAGGTTGCTTTATAAACTCAAAACAGAGATAATACAGTATTCTACAGTGCAAGTCAATTAAATTTCTCTCATCTCTCTCCCCCCTCCTCAATTCTTTTACCTTTCTTCTTCATCCTTTCTTCACCCTTTGTCTCTCACTTTCCCAGGTATTATACACTCCCCAGACAAGGGATCGTTTTACTGCTCCCTCCTTTATGCAGCGTGACCGATTCAGCCGCTTTCAGCCCACCTATCCCTACTTGCAGCACCAGATTGACCTTCCGCCCACCATATCGCTGTCGGATGGCGAGGAGCCCCCACCATATCAGGGACCCTGCACACTGCAGCTCCGTGACCCTGAGCAGCAGATGGAGCTCAACCGCGAGTCAGTACGGGCGCCACCGAACAGGACCATCTATGACAGTGACTTGATCGACATGGGAGGAGGTGGGAGTCTGGGTGGCATGGTAGGTGGAGGGATAGGCATGGGAGGTGGTGGTCCGAGGCCGCCCAGCAGTAACACGGGTATAAGTGCAGCCAACTCCAGCAGCCATGGATGCATAGAGGGCCCCCCACCGGCATACAATGAGGTGATGTGCCACTACCCTGGCTCTGCATTCTTTCTACACCAGCACAGCAATAACCCAAGGTTGGGGGTAGCAGGGAGCAGTACGATCCCACAGCAGAGCCAATCAGAAAGCACAATAGTACCTACAAAGGCCAAAGACAGCCAGCCAGAGGACCTGTTGTGAATAAAGGGCCAGCAAAGGAGGCTTGGCCACCCACCCCAGACGGAGATATTCCTCTCCACTTCACCCCTGATTATCAATAAGTGGTCTTGCTCTCTGTCTCCCAGATGTCCTCCTTCCCCACTTTCATGCACAAATAAATATCAACTTTAGCTAAAACTAAACAAGGAATGTGAGGAACCAACAGTTAAAGCAGGATATATGTACTGCGTGAAGACTTTTTTTCTCTTCAACATATAAGAAAAGAAATATACTGCTAGCATAGATTGAAACCATTTGCTTTGTTTGTCCCTTCGGGTGATGGATCCATCTTTGGGAACTGAAAATTATGATTTTCACATTTGTTTTCTATTTTTTAATTTGATTCTTTTCTTTCCTCTTTTTCCGACCTGTACACAAAGCGAGAGCTTAGGTGAGAATTAAGGACATGCAGAGACCACAACAAAACCAGAGCCTCACATACGCAAACCTTAGTGCCAAGGTTCATAAGGAAACAAAGCAAAAGGTGGAAATTACTCATAATGACATTGAAAACACAAACAAGAAAAGTTGCACTATCCTTTTGCTGTTAACGTGAAGAGGGAAACTATGGTATGTGATGTATCATTCTGATGTTTTTGTTTAGTTTAGTTTTTTGTTTTTTTTCTCGGGGTTTTATTTTGTCCTTTATATGAATTGACTTACTGAACTTATGCTCCAAAGGAGCAAAAAACTAAAACCAACCACAAGTATTATAAGCTTAAATCCTTCCTTTGAAGACCACAAGAAATGCTTGTACCCAGCCTATGACATCTCTGTCGGCTGACACTACAGGCACAGCGAGACTTAGTAAGAGAATAACCTTGTAGTGCTTCATGTCTTAGTACACTTCAGCTTCATGGGGATGGAATCTGCTGTGTAACCAGCTGCTGGTTGGACAAAACATTTCTGGATTTGAAGATGGCTTTCCTGAGCCAGAGTAAACTCAAAGATCGATGAGACCTGCTTGGTGAGACCCAACATGCCATACCAACACGTGGTTAATCTGGCCAGCTGGTTGGATATCAACCAAACCCAAAATATCTGTCTGTCCAGCAGCCTGGTCATAGCAGATATGTCTTTTCTCAACCCTGTCCTGACCTCTGAGCACTTGACACTTCCTCTTTCCAGTTTCCTGCATCTATAACTCCCCCTACCCCCTTGACCTCCTCTCCTCTCATCGTGGCATGTGTTATCTGCCGACATCCACATTGAAACTCGAACCTTGCCGCCATAACAACATAAACACAAAACAACAAAAAGAAAAAAGTTACTTCAAGTCCTTTATGTCACAAAAAACAAGACGTCACAAAGTGAAGATTCCTGTTTGCATGGCAATCTGGTTTTAGATGAAAATTGTCAGAGGTTAAAGTTAAAAGGGCTATGGGAGGGATTGTTTTGGTAAAAAACCTTTTTATGAAAATCTAGCCATTTTCTCTACTCATCGTTGCCTTCTCTGCTCTTTTTTGTTTCTTGCACTCTTTACCCCTCTGCCCCAACCCCCAAAATACATCCCAGCTTTATAACAGTGTTCATCATCCAATCTTTTCATCCATGCATAGAAAAGGTGCGTGCAAATGATGAGAGGTCCACTGAAGCCCTTTAAAGCAGACTGGAGTGGAATCCTTGTTTGGCAGTGTGCTTTTGCTGTCTTCTCTGTATCTGCTTCTCTTTGTCTGGTTGCGTGTGTGTGTGTGTGTGTTCTTGTTGGTCAAACCTTTCAACAACACAGAAAAGCACTTAATTCTTCTGCAGGAGCCATGTGTGTGTGTGTGCATGAAAGCATGATTTATTAATCAACTTTGAGTTTAGCGAGTCAAGGACATATTACTTATTATTTGGCACTGTCCATGTTAACCATTATCAATTAAGCTTTCATTAGAATTCAGTTGAGTGTCTCTTCAAAAAAATCATAGATGCACTATGGTTATTAATGTAGGATGGAAGTGACCTCAGTGTAAAAGTTTAAACAAAGGGCACTCAGTCTTCCCACAGGCTCACTTAAAGCTGCACAGTAAAAACAATGTAAACTTATCAAACTGCAGCTGTAGAGACGGAGACTACTTAAACAGGAACAAAACATAAGAACTAAATCTTGAGGAAACTAGAAAATTAGAGGAGAAGGCTAGTGTTTTATTCTAAATGTCAACAAATCTCATGAAAACGCAAAGTAAGCTTAACTTTTGGTGACTTCTGTGCGCTGCCTGTGGCTATCAACCCCAGGACCATTGATTCTTACTGAAGACTTTTAATGCTATTAACTTGTGATCCACTTCCTGAAACAGGTGGGTTTCAATCCGATCCCCACATATACTGTACAACCACCTTTTTCACTTCATAAAATCCAATGTCAAGCACAAATCATAAAGGTACATTAATTTGTTATCATTTGAATTTAATACATGCTGCGGGTAAAAACAGCACATATCTCAGTTTACTCCAAAGGTGTTTCCATAATAATGGAGATGAGGAAAAAGTATTTAGTCAGTGCCTGATTCTGTTATCGTGTGTGTGTGTGTGTATGTGTGTGTGTGTATGTGTGTGTGTGTGTTACTACGTCACTGCTGCTATTGTTCTTGCTGCTACTGCTACTATTGTTGCTTCTGTTGCTTCTTATGTCCCTCCCCTAGTTCCCTCACTTATAATTGAGAGAAATCTGACTGTCTGCAGTAAAATGCACAAGTATTGAGAGTATCTTTCAGAACATTTTGTTAAACAGATAGGTCTGGGAGAAGAGACCCAACACTTGCCCTTTGTCTACACAGACCTTCTTTCTTCCATCACTTTTCTTCCTTCATTCTGTTTTCTCAGCTTTTTCTAAATTAAATTTTATGTTTTCTACGAGGAGGTTTGCTTGTTACTATTATGTGAATAAATAAGGTGCCTAATGTTCATGTTTGAGAAGACCACACCTTGGTGAAACTACTGCTTGGAATCCTTATAGGTGCTTAATGTGAGGGCTGACCGTCAGCCTGTCTGGCAGACTGGAACAAACACTTGAGAGGGAGGGTTGGTTAAGATTACCAAAAAAATATAATTTCCATCTCTTTGTAAAGCAGTTCCAGTGCTGACATGATTTCTTGGAGTGTGGAGTGCTTTTCCAAAATTTCTTATTCACTTCTCAAGCTCCTCCATGATTAAAGACTGAATCTTACCACAGAACCAGTACTCTGTGTGTATGTTTGTGTGTGTGTTTGTGTTTCCACGTCAACAGAATAACAACCAGCAGCTCACCCTTGAACATTTTTTTAATCTCTAAATTGTGACCAGATTTACTAACAATGTTTACAAAGCATGTTTCCATTGTGCCGGACAGGAGTGGTGGTTCCCAGTGAAGCAGCTTAAGCCATTTCATTCAGTAACAGGCCACGTGTGGAGCAAACATTGGAACCCACTTGCACTCAAAAAGCTCCCACCTTCGTTGTGCCTCACTTCTAACGGTGCTTTTTTCAGTAGTCTGTCTTTCTTTGTGTTTATTTGTAAGGTGCTGTATATAACTTGAATATATTATGCACATATCCTACCCAATGGGTAGAAACCACAAATAAATTTGTGAATAATGTAATATAATGTATAGACAATATAAGTATTTTAAGAAGGCAGCATCAAATTTGTAAACGCCTACATTAAAAAAAACTTACTTTGTCTTTTTTAATGAGAAAACATGGTTTGCAAGTTATGCTTAGAATATGGTTGTTTCACAAATACAAACATAATATTTAGCTATGAATGATAATGTGTTGTGATAAGGATAACTTCTTGTTTGAGCAAGTTGTTGAGAAATTATATTTTTCACTTAAAATAAAAAATTTGATTCCTCTTCTGAGAACAAGCAGTCATAGTGCTTGGCTTCATGGGTACTTTACTGTCACCACCATTGATTAAAAGATATGTAGTTCTATTACACAGAAAACATAATATCACACACATGGATTCGTTTTTATATCACACCTTCAGCAAGTGTTTCAGGTTAATTTCAACTCAATTTGTTAATTGTGGCTACAAAATGCAAACGCTCTTGAGTTTTGGAGCTAACGGCAGTTCCTAAAACAGAAGCCTACATGTCCCTTATTCATTGATCTTAATGATGTTTGTAGTTCATTTCAGCTGTAGTCTTGTACGTCTGCCAAAGTATAAAGGTAGAACACACTCAGAACTACTACAAATGTAGCTGGATGTTGGGCTATACAGAAAGCATTTCAGCTGTTCAGCATTGGGATTGTTAATGTTTTAATACATGATTACTGAACAGAAAAGTAAAATGTGTATTTCCCATGAGTGAAGAATGCCTTTTTAACCATCATTGACATTTTTTCTCTTCTTTTAAATCTTTTTTCTACATTGCCTTATTATATTTGGCACATTATATTGAAACAAGAATGATGTTTAATCTGCAATCATTTATTTACAGTATGTACCGAAAACAATGTCTCTGTAGAGTAACAGCAGAGCATGTTCATTCTTACCTACAGACGATGTACATAGCAAAACACCATTTCCTCTTCAAAGCACCAAATAAGAGGCAGCTGTGTAGTTATTATTTGGAACAAGTAATTTTGGTTAGAGCTTGGCTATGTTCCTCTGAATAGACCTGTTCTTTTCTGTTTTCTGCACTAGCTGGAAGAACTAGCTTGGACTCAGAAGTCTTTACTCAAATGCTGACAAGTAGCTGTTTTTACTGTTTCAGATAACAATAACAACAATTATGATAACAAAGATAGAATCTCAACAGTTTGGTATTACCATAGGGCTGCTTCCATTATTGGTTTTGTAACATCAGTTTGCTTAATTTACAAATATAATTATTCTCAGTCTCCCCTTCTCCCTCTGTGCTCAGCCACAGAAATAAAATTGTGTTTTTGCTCTTTTTATTTATGCAATTGTGATGTAATAGGGTTTAGGCCTAAGGTCTGTTATTGCAATACTTTTACAGAAAAAAAAGAAGAAAAATCAAAATATTTTGCTCTAAGTGCTGTTGTAGTTAAAGATTTTATGCTTGTACTTATGCTGTAGTTAAACTGCAGCATAATGAATAAAACTTAAAAAGTGATTACTTTGCTGGTCTCCCTGTATATATTTTTCTCCCTTAGCCCTATTTGGATACATCACTGGAGTCAGCACAAGCAGTGACGCCACTCAGCTCTTGATCTCTCCTTTGATGCAGCCAGATACGATTGAAGGCAGATCAGCAATTTATCTGGCTTGTTAGCCTGGTTTCTGTGTTATTTGATTATGCAGGTTGAGACCAGGATATGTAAAGCAAGGAGGACAATCAGAGTAGCATTCTCTCAGAGTTATCACAGAGCGATGGTCAGGGATTAACTGTCTGCTGTAAATGAGATGACTCTGACTAAAATAACAGCCTAATGTAGATTTCATAGTCAGAAATATGAGTATTGCTAGTGCAGCTCTGATAGGCTTACTTCTCTATAAAAATCTTAAGATATTCATCATGCAAATTTGGAATACTTTCTTGTGCCCTTGTATGTATAGTGGTAACAACTATTATTATTATTATTATTAGTAGTAGTAGTAATTTACATGAATTGTTGTTGCTATTTTTAATTACATCTTTACACTCTTGTTGTTTTCATTATAACTAATCGAAGCTAAAACCTAATGGTGCACAACGGTTCCTGCTCTCTCTCCCTCTCCTCTCTCCCCCTCACCTTTCCCTTCCCCCTCTTTTTGCACTATTTTGTATAGTTTTTAACATTTTCTTTTCCTGTAAACATGTTTATTTTTATTGTTATATTTTATTTCTTTTTTACTAAATGTACCTTTTAGTGGTAGCTGCTGTAATTTCGCCATGCTTCATTGTGTGATGACATTAAAGGCATTCTATTCTATTCTATTCTATTCTATCTCTCTTTTCTCCCATCTTTTCCACCCATCTCTCCTCTCCTTCCCATTTTTCTATGGCACCCAGATATACATTTACACAGACAACCTCTTGCAGTTGAGCTGACTTGTACAGCACCTAGCAGGGCATGCTAGCTAATTAACAACCTTAGCCATCCTAAGTAACTGAAAACACTAAGTACACTACTCACAGGTCTCAAGGACCTGATTGCATTTTATGTGTTGGATACACTTATTGTAAGTCACTTTGGATGAAAGCGTCAGCTGAATGATATGTAATGTAATCTCATGTAAAAGGAAGTACTCACACAACAGACAGCTGTCACTCCGCACTCTCTTTATGCTCCTCTCCTTCATGTGTTGCTCCTAGTTATCCTCTGTACATCTGTACATACTGCTCGTACTCCACTTGTTGCGCTTCTCGCGCAAATGCGCTTTTCCTGCTACAGATGTTCAGCGAGTGCATCCTACAACTCTCTACACTCACCCTTGAATCACACTGCTGATTGTGCCTTTGTACAGTCGCCCCCACATAGCTGCAGCTATTTGCACCTATGAAAGGCTGTCCGGTTTGGGAGGAGACAGGTTAGGAGAATGGTCCTCATCTTCTGGTATGGCTAGGAGGACAACCAGGTCAGCCACAGGCGTGGTGTAGATCTCATGACAATCTGCACAGGTGTGAACTTTGACCACTAGTCCGACTGATGGTAGCATCATAAACTTGTTTGGAAGTGTAGCAGAGAGGGGGAGGCTCATGTAGGACCTTTCTCTCCAGGCTCACTGGTCCAAGACATGCAAAGAGTAGCATGAACTGCAAGTGGTTCAGAACGGTAGCACCTGCCACTCAAAGATATATGGGAGATCCTCTCTCCTCATTTCATAACACATAAAACATAGCAGCACACCTACCGATATGAGCAATTAAACACAATGCAGGTCTTGCCATTGTGGCTAATCATGTGGTGAGGGAGTAACCATGATTCTCCATATTGGGTGAGTGCACTGGGATTGCCTAAACCAAATACTGTATGCTCAGGATCCTCGACCAGCCGCCTCTCTGCAGTTCGTAGGCTTGGCATGAATGCATACTTTGGAGCATGGAAGTGAGGCATGTTCTTTTTAGGGCATAGTGGTGTGGCATCCCAAAGCACTCCATCCACCTTTACACGTGTGGGCACCTCTGTGGCTGTGTTTACGAGGCAACAAATCTTTGTTTGATTCTCCTTAGGTGGTCTGCTATTGACCTCATGAAGTACTTCCAGGTGTTTGACCTTGCAAAGGCCACAGATCCTCTTGAGGCTACACTGTGCCACCTGATGGGACCTTCTGCATGCACAAGTCTCTAGGACAGCTTTTTTCCACCTGCACAATATTGTGAAAATTAGAAACATCCTGCCTCAGAAGGATGCTGAGAAACTAGTCCACGCATTTGTTACCTCTAGACTAGATTACTGTTACCCTTTTTTATTATCAGGATGTCCCAGTAAGCCTGTGAAAAGCCTCTAGATGGTCCAAAAGTGCTGACAGGAACTAGAAGGAGAGATCATATTACTCCTGTGTTAGCTTCTCTACATTGGCTCCCTGTAAAATTCAGAATAGAATTCAAACCATATTATCCAGATCACTTAGTTCACAAAACAAAGGGTCTCTTGTGGTTCCAAGAGTCTGTAAAAGTAGAACAGAAGGTAGAGCATTCAGCTACCAGGCTCCTCTCCTGTCGAACCAGCCCCACTCTGGGTTCAGGAGGCAGACACCAAGCCTATAGTTAGTTCTGGATCAGGTGAGTCCTGAACCATCCCTTAGTTATGCTGCTATAGGTCTAGACTGCTGGGGGAACTCCCATCATGCACTGAGCACTTCTCCACTTCTCTTTGTCTCTCTGCCCCCCCACATTTATTTATGTATTTTAAGACATTTCACTATGTTGCTTTTTCCTCCCATAGTCCCTCTCTCTCTTTCTCTCTCTCAATTCAGATATCTCTGACTCCAGAACTGCAGGATAATAACAATTAGTATTGTTATTATTAATAATAATAATAATAAAACTATAATCTATATAATCTCCCCTCTCCTCCCCATTTTTCTCTGCTCACCCCAACCAGTCGAGGCAGATGACCCCCCACATTGAGCCTGGTTCTGGTAGAGCTTTCTGCCTGTTAATGAGGGAGTTTTTCCTCTTTTGCGAATTCTTGGGTTTCTCTATATTAAATACAATTTTAAGATCTTGACCTTCTACATTAAGTGCCTTGAGATAATGTATATTATGATTTGGCACTATACAAATAAAATTGAATTGAAAATTGAATGTGCCTTTACTTCCGGATTCCCCTTCTCAGAGGATGTAGCTCCTTTTCTCTTAGTCTCTTCAGCTCCATGGAGAACAGCTGTCACATTCTTTCCATGGCAGACCTCTGGCCTCTTTCCCTGATCCTCTTTTTGGCCTCTAATATGTGACAAAATCATGGCACCATGACTCTTACTGGAGCCATTCCTTGAGAGGTCTTGGAGCATGTACATGTTGCTAGGGCTGTGGAACATACAATGTCAAATGTCTCAAATCCATTCCTGGGGAAGCTTACTGATCAGAGGTGCTACACGAGATCTGCATGCCGGCTAACTCTGGCCTTGTGGACCCAGGGTCTTCAGTAGTCCCACCAATGACCATACCTTTTGGGAAAACCTCTCAAAGGCAGCAGTGGCGGACATCAGGTGCATCCATGACATTTTCTATCC